GCAAGCCTTCGCGCTGCGACTCGAGACTGCCTGCCTGCCTTTCCAGTACGGTCTCAGCAGTCGTGCTGGCGCTGAAGCTTTGCCACGCGTCCTGAGAGCTGCAACTGAAGTCGAGCAACGATCCTGTCTGTGGACGCAACTGGAGTTTCGGCAGGCAATGCTGGCGGCCCTGCATGCCCGCCCAGAGCTCCGGCCGCTCCTCCCTTTCCCTCGGCAGTTCTACCTTGCCGCCAGCACCTGCACATGGACTGATGGGCAAGGGGTTTCCCACAGCATCGCGCAAGCGGAGGGCGGAGAACAAGGAGATCCGCTGATGCCTGCCCGCTCAACACCCCGCGCTTGAAGAGGTGCAGGGGCCATCTTTGCGAATCTCGACGGCACGTATATATCATCGCCACCCCGGAGCCTGCAGCAAGACGCGAGTTTGGAACATGGCAGGCGAGGAGCACCGGGCATGACCGCGCTACAGGGCGAGGCTACCACCGCCGTGTGGGTCGGGGATTGGACACTTCCGCCAGTTGGACAGGGGCTCACTGTCCTTGGCAAGCCTTTCGGCCGGCAGCGACACCTACGTCCAGACGCTTGGCGCTCAAACGCGAAGAGCACGACCGTCTCCTGCAGCGCATCCCGTCTGTCCAAGACTTACAGGCAGCATGGCTATTGCTGCACTACTGTGCTGCTCCGCGGGCCAACTATCTCTTGCGTTCCTTGCCCCCAGCCACGACAGCAGCGTCTGCTTCCTCGCATGACACGGCCGCCGCGCGGTCATTTAAGCAAGCGACAACCCCATTGGGACACTCAAATCTGCAATCTCTCGAGTAGGAAAGTGGGGTCGCGAGCGCACACTGCACCGCAACGGACATGAGGCCACTCCAGCGGAGAACCCATGCGGCTTGGGCGGATGCATGCCCTCTAGCTGTCCTGCTGCAGTTTCTGTTTGGTCTTCATCTAAAAATGAAACCAGAGCCTTTCTGATGGACCTTGAGGCTACAAACCGGTTGGTCGGTCGGTCAGTCAGTCGATTGACTGACTCGAGCCTCCGCGTGAGCTTTTTAGAGTTGTGAAGCCACTTTGAAGTGACTCAAGCTTGTGTGAAGTGAAGCCTCAAGCCGTGCCCGGTTTGGCTCAAGACTGACTGCTGAAGAACAGCAGAGTGAAAAGTGTGGAGCGTGCCTGCTTTGGCTGTTTGCTGTTTAGTGAGGCCCCCT